AACCTCCAGAGCGTGCGAAGAAGAGTGGAGAGGAAGGAGAGATCAGATGGGTGAAGAAAAATCCAAGATTGGGGTCTGGGAGAGAAAAAATGTGTTGGTAAAGTAGAAAGAGCTGAGGAAAAAGTCGGGCAAGAACAAGAAATGGTGGGTACAGTGCTAAAAGCGTTGGCATCTTGTTTTCTCAGTTCTTTTATTTTCCTTTCCTTTTTCACCTTCCGTTGAAACTTGACACCATTTTTTTTGTGGGCTCCGCAAGAAAGTGGCCGGACCCTCACGGCGTCCAAGGACTCCAAGCGTGCCCAAACTTGCCCCCTACTCCTTGCACCATTGGGGGTGGATCGGACGCCTAATACGCCATCCCACTTTGTGTCACGTTTACTTTTGTCTTTCTTGTCGCACCACTATCAAACTATAGGCGGGTAATGCCCAATTTTTTTTCAATTTTTTTAAATCATAATTAAATTAAAATAAATAACATTAAATACCTAGTTAAATAACATTAAAATTAAAATTACATTGATGCGATTAAAAAATGGAATTAAAAAAATACAAATATTAAAAAAATACAACTAATAAAAAATAAAATTATTCATCATTCCGAAGTGAAGAAGCGAAGTTCCACAAATGCTCGGCTAAATCTGTACAAAGGGTGTGTGCGTATACGTGTAATGTAACACAAACCTATTGAGCTCTAGTTATTCTGCATTAATTGTTCAACGTTAACATTGTGAACGTTCGAGTCGTATTTGCATATCACACGTCCTTCATCTTCGATAATCATGTTATGTACTCCATAAGATGCAGCAAGCCTATATAATGTGACATAATTTTTTTGGTGTGAAATCTCACGCTCGGTTTTGCACAATGTGTCATATCTGCTTGACCACACCAAATAGACGTCCCATGTTTTCTTACTGATTTTAGGTATTTGGCAAATTTCTTTCTCTTTAGATCCTCATAGTACAGTATAGTTTTTGAAATTTAGGGGGGTGTACTGGGAATCATCGATTGAAAGCTTTGCAAACAAATCAATCAACTATGTTACCTAGAAGATGCTGCAGCATTGTCACAATAACCGATGACAGATAGTCTGCTGTAACACCTTCTCTGTCACAAACACACACAAAAGCAGACGATGCAGGGGGTATTACAGTGCCTACTGGGCAAAATGTTGTAATGATAAAATATGTAAAAAAGAAAATCAGATATGTTTACGCAATTCAGAAAATAGCATGTGGGAGCCACATCTGTGTAATAGTCATCCATTAAATCACTAGATGCAAGTTACGCCGGTACATAACAACATGACGAGACACACTTCTCCAAATTGTTATGACGAAACTTCTAATCAAGAATTTCTAACATATACCCTGTACAATCCGCTTCGGATATCAAATCTCCACCAAAATCACAAGGACAAATATGTTGGAAGCCCTCTCCATACACTTAGATTCATCTGCTGGATGTTACGATCTGTTTAGCGTCAAAGATCTACTTATTCATGTAGATCGTAACTTTCTTCACACAAGGGAAGCTCCGGGACACTGAGGTAACACTCTACATCAATTTATATTAGGGATGATAACAGTCGGATTTGGTTTGGAAAGTACTATACCCAAATCCAACCCGACTTTTAAACTCGAAACTCAAACCTGATGTAACACACGAAAATCAGTCTAAAAGAATTAACTATTTAAACTGCTAATTATAGCCGTGTGGGCTCTGAAGGTTTGAAAAATAAAAATGTTAGAAAAAACTATTTCGAACACAACGTTAGATTTCATTTATTTTTATAAGTTAAAAAACACGATCACTTTCAAATTCAGGATCTGTTTGGAAAACAACTTGAAATTTAAACAGATAAATTATTTCTTCCAGGATAAAGGTTTAATTCCAAATCTCACAATCATTCCCTCAAAAGTTTAGGATTTACCACACCTCATCCCACAAATATGCTCATCCCATCATATAAATCTCTCACACTCAAATGTCTCTAACCACTAGAACACATCCATCACTACCTCGCAACTCTCTTGAATGGTTGTGGAGGAAGATGTTGGATGGTTGAGTTGGCCACATCTCTCAATATCTGATTTCTCCATAAAAGGGAGGCCTTTCCTTTATTCACCATCCTCTCCACACTTGGAAAATCCTGCAAGTTTAGTTTACTTAATCTTCCCAAGCTTCTTTCCACCATTAATGAAGGTTTGAGAAGCTAACTCTAGGTAAGAGAGTACGTCTCATTCCTATCGTTATTATACTCATTTTAACCCTCTCCTCACTCCATATTTCTTTGCGCTATCAAGGTTCGAAGAGAATATGTGAGGACAAGGAAATCTAGAAGTAGATAATGACGTCCGTTCGCTGACCGTACATTGAGGTGTTAAGATCTTTACGTTGCCCTACAAACTTTAAGGTATGTACCCCAGACTTATGTTTGACGTAGATTTTGTAGAACCATTTGTATATATATGTTTTGCCTCGTAGTATTTTTGTTGTCACCATAACCCCAAAAATACCCTAAAGAACCTTTGCACGAACTTTACTTTAAAACTATGATATTTTATGTTATATCATCTTATAGTTATCTTATGTTGATAAAAATGGAGAAAAATATATTTAAAATAAGAAGAAATGAACTTTAGAACTCACGAACCCAAGACGCAGCAGATCACTTGGCTTGACACGGTTGACCACCTAGTGAAATGGTCCACCCAGTGGACCGTCTGAAGGAAGAGGCCGATTCTGCACTTCCGACTGCCGACGTTGGTAGGAACGGTCCACCACCATGGATTGTTGACACTTTTCACGTCAAAGGATTTTCTATACTGCACCACAAGGGTCATCTGTTGTCCTCCACGGTCCAAGACTTCAACTGTCATTACTGTTCACGTCGAACCCAACTTAAACCCTAGTACTTAATGGTCGACTATTCTCATCCACCGGTCTACCGGGGCAGTCCTCCAGAACTAACAACACAATGGTCGACCGTTAGGGTGTTCCAGACTGCCTTAGGAACGGTAGGCTGTGGTCCCGTAACAGTCGACCTTACCTCGTCCAGTAGCTCCGAATATTGGAGAATAGCTTTGTAACGCCCTAGAAATTGGTTTAGAAGTTAATTCACAATTGAATAAATAAGAATTATTTATTCTTTCAAAACAATGAAAAGATTACTTTGGAGATTCTAATCAGCTAACTGTAACACGACTAATCTGATTATAGTTGTAAAGATTTGAAGTAAAAGACTGATCATCATTAATTAATCAAAAGAATTAAGACGAACCAGATGGAGCTTATACATGTTTGTCGTTTGATTATAAAAGTTATATCATTGGGTAAGGATTGAGAAATCAAATCCAACGGCGCGAACAGATCTCAATTCGGAGCAAGTTAGCCCGAAAAGTGTGTTTTAATCGAACACTTTATTTTAAGTTATGGAATAAGAAACAATAGGGTATATAAAATGACTTTTCTCCGGTTTTCTTTCCTCTGGAATCGAGACGCCGCCTTCTCAGTTCTCCTTCCTGGATTCGGCAATCTCCCTCCTCCCTGTTCCGGCGAAGCAGCGACGGGCGAGACCTAGCAGCTTTCCGGCAACGTGCACAGACCTCCATTACCGGCGATGCAGAGGACCAGTGCGATTGAGCAATGGTCCTGAATCCAAAACGTCGACGACATCAACCGTACCCCATGATTCCGACGACCTTCAGCAGCGACGAGGGTGATTGGGCGCGACCAGCTGCGGCGACTCTGTGAGTTCCATATTGTGTTGACATTATTTTTTTCACAAACGAATAGATTTATCTAGAATTATTTTAGATATTTTATTTAGACTTAGAGTTCTAGCATGTGAAGAAAGAGAAAGAGGAAAGAGCTTGAAGAAAGAAGTCTAATCCTACTTGGTTTACTATTCTTGAGGAGGAAGGCATGGTTGAGACTCTTAAACACACTCTAACAAGGTTAATATGCTCTATATATTACTTTCATCCTCCCTTAGGGTTTTGAGCGTGCAAAACTACTAAAAACCAGTAGCAAATTCGATCAAAAGAAAAACACAAGGTGCAGATTTTGAGACTGTAAATTCTCTGGACAGCCCGCACAGATTTGATCATCGCCGAAGATCCGACCGTTGGATTTTTCTGAAATTTTCAGAGGGTGTTCTCAACACATAGAGCTTCAACGTGTTAAAATTTCACGTCAATCGGAGTTACGGATCTTCTGTTATCGAAGTTACAATATACACATTGTTGCTGATTTTTTGCAGAAAATACTGCCCTGGTTTTCTCGACTGTTGGAGTATCAAATCTTGTCCGATCGTGCTGAAATTTTGGGAGGCGTTTAAGGACTCCTGGATCTTCAATCTGAACGGTGGAGATCGAATTCCAACGGTTCAATCTTGATTTATGAGCTTCTGAATAGTCTGCAGATTTTTGTAGATCAAGGAGAGTCTTTATTTGAAGGTGTATTGGAATCTACGTCTCTTTGAGAAGGTGTAACTAGCCGTGGAGATAGACGCAAACCGAGTTTGTC